CCTGAGTAGCCTGAGTATTGTGGATGAGTGGCAACTTTAGCTGTGAGGGTTGCCACACTGAGCTGTGAGGGTTGCCAGACTGAGCTGTGAGGGTTGCCACACTGAGCTGTGAGGGTTGCCACACTAAGCTGTGAGGGTTGCCAGACTGTGAGGGTTGCCACACTGTGAGGGTCGCCACACTAAGCTGTGAGGGTTGCCACACTAAGCTGTGAGGGTTGCCACACTAAGCTGTGAGGGTTGCCACACTAAGCTGTGAGGGTTGCCAGACTAAGCTGTGAGGGTTGCCACACTGAGCTGTGAGGGTTGCCAGACTAAGCTGTGAGGGTTGCCAGACTGAGCTGTGAGGGTTGCCAGACTGTGAGGGTTGCCACACTGTGAGGGTCGCCACACTAAGCTGTGAGGGTTGCCACACTAAGCTGTGAGGGTTGCCACACTAAGCTGTGAGGGTTGCCACACTAAGCTGTGAGGGTTGCCACACTAAGCTGTGAGGGTTGCCACACTAAGCTGTGAGGGTTGCCAGACTAAGCTGTGAGGGTTGCCACACTGAGCTGTGAGGGTTGCCAGACTAAGCTGTGAGGGTTGCCACACTGAGCTGTGAGGGTTGCCAGACTAAGCTGTGAGGGTTGCCAGACTGAGCTGTGAGGGTTGCCAGACTGTGAGGGTTGCCACACTTATCTGTGAGGGTTGCCAGACTGAGCTGTGAGGGTTGCCAGACTAAGCTGTGAGGGTTGCCACGCTAAGCTGTGAGGGTTGCCAGACTGAGCTGTGAGGGTTGCCACACTAAGCTGTGAGGGTTGCCAGACTGAGCTGTGAGGGTTGCCAGACTAAGCTGTGAGGGTTGCCAGACTAAGCTGTGAGGGTTGCCACACTAAGCTGTGAGGGTTGCCAGACTAAGCTGTGAGGGTTGCCAGACTGTAAGGGTTGCCACACTGTGAGGGTTGCCACACTGTGAGGGTTGCCACACTAAGCTGTGAGGGTTGCCAGACTAAGCTGTGAGGGTTGCCACACTAAGCTGTGAGGGTTGCCAGACTGAGCTGTATGGATGGCCCCACACATCGTCCAGGGTTCTATGGTTCACACGTTAGAGTAGGATAGGATAGAACTTGATAAGGATAGACAAGGCACTTTGAGAAGGATGGGAAAGGTGGCTTGAATAGAGTGGATAAGGCAGTTTGAGAAGGATGGGAAAGGTGGCTTGAATAGAGTGGATAAGGCAGTTTGAGTAGGATGGGAAAGGTGGCTTGAATAGAGTGGATAAGGCAGTTTGAGTAGGATGGGAAGGATAGTTGAGGCGTGGGCAGTTAGTGAGAGATCTAGCAGCGCCATAACTAACTAGAGTGTTCAGATCTTCCACAAGAGTTTATTCAGGTGGTTCCTCACATACAATGTGAGTAATGAATGAGGTGTATTTTACAGTTTCCCGGTACTGAAAATCTTTACTAGGGACTTACTTAATTAATTGCGGGATTTGCTTCACTTAATTACGGGACTTACTTCACTTAATTGCGGATTTGCTTCACTTAATTACGGGACTTACTTCACTTAATTGCGGATTTGCTTCACTTAATTACGGGACTTACTTCACTTAATTGCGGATTTGCTTCACTTAATTGCGGACTTGCTTCACTTAATTTACGGATTTGTTTGCGGATTTGTTTCACTTAATAACCGGCTGGTTTCAGTTAAATTTATGCTAGTTCTTGCATAATTTTGTTAAATTCTCAATATATATATTTGAATTGTCTCATTATTTTCAGCTAGTCACACATAATTTCTAAATAGTCACATAATTTCTAAATAGTCACATAATTTCTAAATAGTCACATAATTTCTAAATAGTCACATAATTTCTAAATAGTCACATAATTTCTAAATAGTCACATAATTTCTAAATAGTCACCTAATTTCTAAATAGTCACCTAATTTCTTAATAGTCACATAATTTCTAAATAGTCACCTAATTTCTTAATAGTCACATAATTTCTAAATAGTCACATAATTTCTAAATAGTCACCTAATTTCTAAATAGTCACATAATTTCTAAATAGTCACATAATTTCTAAATAGTCACATAATTTCTAAATAGTCACATAATTTCTAAATAGTCACATAATTTCTAAATAGTCACCTAATTTCTAAATAGTCACATAATTTCTAGTCACATAATTTCTAAATAGTCACATAATTTCTAAATAGTCACATAATTTCTAAATAATCACATAATTTCTAAATAGTCACATAATTTCTAAATAGTCACATAATTTCTAAATAGTCACCTAATTTCTAAATAGTCACACAATTTCTAAATAGTCACCTAATTTCTTAATAGTCACATAATTTCTAAATAGTCACCCATCATTTTGAGTTAGTCTCATAAAAGTTTAAGAAGATCTTTCAAAATTTTCACCAAATCGCACTAAATTTTTGAGTAGTCTCACAGAATTTTTGGCTTAATGTCTCTCAAGTTTCTTAATTTTGGGAATGTCTCGTTAAATTTGGATCTCTAATCTCAATAACTTTTGTCCTAGTCCCATGAAATTTTGTGCCAGTTTCTCTTTATTTTGACCTAATTTCACTTAGGACAATATAAATATATGGGTGTATATATATATATATATATATATATATATATATATATATATATATATATATATATATATATATATATATATATATATATATATATTTATATATATTTATATGAAGTGTTTTATTGATTATGTACATCTTTGTTATCAACGGTACTGTATTTATATTATATAAAGCAGCAACTTTACCTAGAGTAATGTACTTGCAACGCGCAACTCTGCAATTTTGTCAATAACATTTTATGTTCAGTGCATAAGAGAGCCATTTTTTCCGACATTACTGTAATTGTGCTACAATATTTACACCAACATTACTGCATGCAAATTTGTTAATTTTGTTACCAACAGGATGTAGCTCCTGGGCCCCGCCTTTGGGTCACTGGTCCCCAATTCCTTTAGCTTGTGACCCTGTCTGTAGTTCACACGCCTTATTCTCTGTGAGTCGCCTCACTCTGGTGTTCCACCGTGGTGTTCCACCTTGGTGTTCCACCGTGGTGTTCCACCGTGGTGTTCCACCTTGGTGTTCCACCGTGGTGTTCCACCGTGGTGTTCCACCGTGGTGTTCCACCGTGGTGTTCCACCGTGGTGTTCCACCGTGGTGTTCCACCGTGGTGTTCCACCGTGGTGTTCCACCGTGGTGTTCCACCGTGGTGTTCCACCTTGGTGTTCCACCTTGGTGTTCCACCGTGGTGTTCCACCGTGGTGTTCCACCGTGGTGTTCCACCGTGGTGTTCCACCTTGGTGTTCCACCGTGGTGTTCCACCGTGGTGTTCCACCGAGGTGTTCCAACAAAGTGTTCCATATATTTAATCTCTACCGCACCAGAAAATGTACTCTGGTGTTCACTCACATTCACAGACATACTCAAATCACTAATATACACACCCAAATGCACTCATATTCACACTCAAATGCACTCATATACACACTGAAACGTACTCAAATAAGCATTCAAATCACTGAGTGATACGAAATACTCACATCCACGAATATACACAGGGAAATACACACATATATACACACTTAGATAAATATACCAACATATATTCACATCCAGCTTCATATACAAACACACACTTTACCAGTTCATGACCTTCGACCTCTAAGAACACAAGTTAATATTCTTCCTTCTACAACAAGTTAGTAACATCTCCTTAATATAACGGGCTGCTGTTAAAGCATTATATGCACCCGAAGCTTTCTTCAGGGGTCCCCCGACACATACGTCAGGGTCACCTATATAATTGCAGTGCAAATTGACCTCTATCGGTTTCATTGAGAAAGATGATAGTGCAATGGCATTATCTTCTCGCCCGGGTCCTGTGAGTAAGAATGAGTATAAGGACCTGTAGATTAGAGGCTATTCCAACTAACGACCAATTAAGTGGCTAACGGCCTCTCCTTGTTTCCCCGAGTATCGGTTCTTGAGGAATGTGGTAGACATGTTAACAACAAATACAAAATTTTCCATGCATCGTGAAAGCTTTAAGATCCCATGAAGAAAAAAAGGAAACATGAAAAACATTCAAGAAAATTATGTTCACTGTTGCTTGTAAATGAACAGTGAATTGCCTTGTTGATGTAGTTACAAGGGAGCACCATCAAATGGTTGGTTTTTGTTTTATTCACAAGCACATCAATTAGGAAAATAAATTTTTGAAACACTAATATTTAATGTATTTTAGTAAGAGTAAGATTTCGTGGTAAGCACAATGGTGTGTTATTATTTAGAAGTAATGTTACAAGAAGTGTTTGGACACTGAGAACTATGCAGCTCGTTGTAGGCTCATTGTCATGCTTTTATGGAGATGTGAGCGTGGAGGCCAGTCGACAAGCACCAAACAGCCCAAGAACAGCCGGTTACAAAACAGCTGACAACAGCACACCGTCCAAATGGCACATTAAAGGACATCTCTCTCTCTCTCTCTTTTTGCATAAATCCAGTTTTATCACGACGATTAATCAATCACTAACGGACGACGACACCTTAATATGCGTTTCGACACGGACTGCTGATAGGGCCACGAGAACCTCAGAAGAGCAGCGTGAAGCAAGCAAGCAAGCAGGCATCTGAGTGACCAACATGCATAATACGTGAGGGGGATAGGGGGTGTACCCTCTCACCCTCGGGGTACAGAGTCTGGGCTGTACCACAAGGGAGAGAGGAAGCACAGAGCACAACGACAGAGAAGGGGTACAGTGTACTTCAGTACCGTCGTTAACTAACAGGAACGACTCAGCGACACACTGTTGCTGGTGTTTAGAGATGTATATATATATAAATGTTAGGCACGAGACGTGGTCGCAGGGCTGGCGACTGAGAGACAACGGAGAACACGACATAAGGACGACGACGGTAGTGTGAGAGAAGAGATGGACGGGGTTCGAACACGACCAAGGGCAGAGACTTACGTGAGATAAAGGGTTGAGTGCACCAAGGCCAGACATGGCTGCCGCGTCGACAGCTTTTCTCTCCTGAAACAATAAAGTAGACGACCAATATTTTCACCGTCAACTCCACCATTCACCTTCCACACCATACTCCTCACCATCTACGTCAGCCTCATCGTCACCATCCCGTCGATCAGGCTATAGTGTCACTCAGTCTCCACTGACTCTGTTCTGAAATAGCACTCAAGGGAGTTTTCATACGAGGTCGACCAAAATATTGACAGTTACGGACTATTTACATGGTTTTTCTCCTAGAGAAGTGTGGGTCTTGTATGCACGTAGTGTGTGTGTGTGTGTGTGTGTGTGTGTGTGTGTGTGTGTGTGTGTGTGTGTGTGTGTGTGTGTGTGTGTGTACTTACCTAGATGTACTCTTAACTGTGTTTTCAAGATCAGCTTATCTTAAGCCTCAATAATTGTCACTCGTTCTTATTATCATAATTGACATTTAAATCTGCGAATTCAATTAAGTTTTTACAACTTCATCATGCAAATCTTTTTATTTACAACCCTTACAGAGAATAAGTTCCTCCCGACGTCTCAGCGACTCAAGTCCCCACCGATTTGTTAGTATCCCTCGTTATACTGCTTCTCCAATGGCTTCTTTGCTTACTTAGTCAAGTTCTCTTAGTATCTTGTATTCCGTTATCATGTCTACCATATTATTTTACTTACTCTAGAGTGGTGAGGTTTAAGCCCCTCATTCTTGCACATCTATAGAACTTTTCTAGAGTTGTTTTATATTGCTTTATATAGCTACTGTTCCATGCGATGACAGGATGTTCAAGAAGAGTTATCACAGAGATTGAACAACGAGGTTGAACAGAGGTTGAACAACGATCTGTAGGTTCCTTAGTTCGTAAAGGCCATCCGGACATTGGGTAGTTAGGGCCATGTAACTCAATTTGGCAATAGACAGCGTTCTACTCCCTTCCCCCCCCCCCTCCAGGCGTCAGATTTGAAGATATGTTTACTCACAAGGGTTAATCTTGTTCTGGAACTGGAACTTGTCTCCATTACTTCCTGCGCTGTATTTTACACCATCTCACCCCAAATTGCATTCTTCATTTCATCATAACATTGTAGATCATTAGCCATGTCTCAGAGCACGTTTGTACGCTGTCAAGTTCATTTAGTATTCAAGTGAGACATATTTATCGCCCTTTCTGAGGACGGAAGGTAACTGTACCTTCCGGACATTTACACTGTAAATGTACATTTACACTGTAAATGTGCATTTACACTGTAAATGTACATTTACACTGTAAATGTACATTTACACTGTAAATGTGCATTTACACTGTAAATGTACATTTACACTGTAAATGTACATTTAAACTCTAAATGTGCATCAGTTTAGCATCATCTTGAGGTTATCTTGAGATGATTTCGGGGCTTTAGTGTCCCCGCGGCCCGGCCTTCGACCAGGCCTCCACCCCCAGGAAGCAGCCCGTGACAGCTGACTGACACCCAGGTACCTATTTCACTGCTAGGTAACAGGGGCATAGGGCGAAAGAAACTCTGTTCATTGCTTCTCGCCGGCGCCCGGGATTGAACCCGGGACCACATGATCACAAGTCCAGCGTGCTGTCCGCTCGGCCGACCGGCTCCCCTCAAGCCTGACCGACTCATCAGCAAACTTTGATACAATGTTGTTTTAAATATGTTAGATGCTTTACGTCTGTTAAGAACACGTTGGACAGTTGAACGACCCGTCTCTCGGGATGCTCTAGATGTTACTATTGGTGTCGTCCATCTCACTGTGACACTTGGTCTCCTTCCTGGTAGGTACTCCTTTATCCAATAAAACACAGTTTCCGATACATCAGCGTTCTTCTCTCGCTACGTGGAAGTCACTAATAAACAGTGTCGAAAGCTTTATAGGATTCCAGGAAGATGCAGTCTACCTAACCATTTCTCTCCTATTTAATTGGTGACATCTTGTGTCAGAGCTCTGGTAAGTTAGTTAAGCAAGATCTCCCATTGCTGAATCTATGTCAAGATCTAGAGACAATAGACTCTCTAAAACGGCCTCAAACGCTTTGGGGGTTCGTGATTCGAGTCTCCTACAGCCCAGGCGAACGGAAAGCAAAATACACTAGTGCCTATTACGGGCTCACTATAGCCGGTGCTACCTAAGTAGCTAAATCTATAACAATAAACTAGTTCCTATAGTGCTGTACGAGTCGCCTGGTCAGTCTGTTGAGCACCTTACAAGGGGATACTTGTAAGTTTCTTTTGGTCCAGGACGGACCGAAACGTCGTCGTCCCTTTACTTACTAATGTGTGGTCTGGTCAAGAAGGGATACTTCTTATTGATATCAGTCACTAGTTCAGCGCCTCCCGTCTTGCTCTGTTCTTATTGATGGGCGCCACATTGGCCGCTTCCATATATTGGTAGTTATCCCAGTTATTGTTAGGGGGTGACAAGAATAGAAATATGGGGGGGGGGGGTTTGAACAGTGGGGCAATTGTCTCTTTCTAGTACCCATTTGTGTGTGTGTGTGTGTGTGTGTGTGTGTGTGTGTGTGTGTGTACTCACCTAGTTGTACTCACCTAGTTATGCTTGCGGGGTTTGAGCTTTGGCTCTTTGGTCCCGCCTCTCAACCGTCAATCAACATGTGTACAGATTCCTGTGTGTGTGTGTGTGTGTGTGTTTGTGTGTGTGTGTACTCACCTAGTTGCACTCACCTAGTTATGCTTGCGGGGGTTGAGCTTTGGCTCTTTGGTCCCGCCTCTCAACTGTCAATCAACTGGCAAATAAAAATATGTGTGTGTGTGTGTGTGTGTGTGTGTGTGTGTGTGTGTGTGTGTGTGTGTGTGTGTGTGTGTGTGTGTGTCCAAAATAAAGCATAACAAGCAACAAACTGATCACCGTATCGACACGACATCAAACACGAGACAATACCCGGGGGGGGGGTAAGGGGGGGGTTAAGGGGGGGGGTTAAGGGGGGGGTTAAGGGGGGGGTTAAGGGGGGGGGGTTAAGGGGGGGGGTTAAGCAATGAACAAGTCAAAACTATCACAACTACAGCCAGACAACTGCAGTGGGTTTCATTACACTACAACAACAACAACAACTACAACACACTACCACTATTACTACTACTACAACAATTACTACCATCACAACAGACACGGCTTCTGCTGCTTCTGCTCACCCCTGCTGCTGCTGCTGCTGCTGCTGCTGTTTTTATCTGATAAACTAATTAACACACCCGCCACAAGCACCAAGACACCTGCCCACACACACACACCTGCCCACACACCTGAAGGACGTGCCTGGGGGTCGACGAACGTACAAAACGCTCACGAACGTTTAGTAACACATGTAAACATGTTACCTGTTTCGTAACACCCTAAAGCATCACCACCATTAGTAACTCACGAAACAGCATCACTAACAAGAGGACAACTCCTAAATCTTCAGCTTAACACCTTTTGAAAACCTTTCGCATATTTTGATCTATTTTTGTTTACTCTTTATGTAAGATTTTAGTCGTAAGAAATAAATTTAAATGATATTGGAAGATCTATTCTATTAGAATTTTTTTTCACGATTTTGCATACAGTTTTTTTAATGATAAAGGTGTGTTTATTGTGTAACATGAGGATCTTCGAACACTAGAACAGAGGTTTCGAACACAAAAAGAGCCGCTTCGAACACAAGAAATGATGCTTCGAACACAGGAAGAGAGGTTTCGAACACAAGAAATGATGCTTCGAACACAAGAAGAGAGGTTTCGAACACAAAAAGAGCCGCTTCGAACACAAGAAATGATGCTTCGAACACAGGAAGAGAGGTTTCGAACACAAGAAATGATGCTTCGAACACAAGAAGAGAGGTTTCGAACACTAGAATAGCAGCTTCGAACAGAAGAAGAGAAGCTCCGAACACAAGAATAGGAGAATAGACTGAGAGAACGGAACTACGAGAATAGACTGAGAGAACGGAGCTACGAAGATAGACTGAGAGAACGGAGCTACGAGAATAGACTGAGAGAACGGAGCTACGAAGATAGACTGAGAGAACGGAGCTACGAAGATAGACTGAGAGAACGGAGCTACGAAGATAGACTGAGAGAACGGAGCTACGAAGATAGACTGAGAGAACGGAGCTACGAAGATAGACTGAGAGAACGGAGCTACGAAGATAGACTGAGAGAACGGAGCTACGAAGATAGACTGAGAGAACGGAGCTACGAGAATAGACTGAGAGAACGGAGCTACGAAGATAGACTGAGAGAACGGAGCTACGAAGATAGACTGACAGAACGGAGCTACGAAGATAGACTGAAGAAACTGGTCTTCTCCAAACTGGTGGACAGAAAAAAACAAAGAAGACTCGACAAAGTGGACAAATAAGCAACGTTCAAAGAAAGAAAAACCCTTCAAATATGAGCACCAAAGGAGGCAAATGTGCCACAGAACGAGAGCAGCACAGAAGACACTAACAACTGCTACTCAAGCAAATCACACAAACTGCTTGGAAGCATAATGCGAAGGAGAATAAAGAAAAAAAACACAGCCTTAATTCGCTTCAGAGCAAAAAGCAGTTATCACGGTGATATAGAAGTAAAGACAAGCCTGTTAAACCTACAGGAGTTGTATAATAAAAATGAATAAAATCAAACAAGAAAGGGTGGACAGTCTGCTTATAATTTGACTGTCTGCGGGAGTTTGAGGCTGAAGCAGAAGCAGAAGTACCAGCTGGAGAAGCAGGCTACAGAGGCAGAAATAGGTGGGGAAACTACCTGAAAAATAGAAAAGATGATTAACGATAAATTGGAAAAAAAATCGGAATGGAGGCAGGTCCCGCTAAACACACACCGAAACTACGACGTTGGTACAACGTTCCAGCAAGATTTAGCACCTCCTAACCAGTTATAACAACCAATATAGCAAGTTGTAACAACGTTCTAATACGTCATTAACACGTTAACCGTAGACGTAACAACTTTATTACAAGTTGTAACAAGCGGAAAATAGAGACAGTTTCGGTTTGTGTTTCCAGGGAGGTCGTTAGTGGCGTGCCGTGAGACTCAGTGCTGGGACCGGTGAAAATTCCTGGTGTATACAATGACGTTATCTTGAGATGTTATCTTGAGATGATTTCGGGGCTTTAGTGTCCCCGCGGCCCGGTCCTCGACCAGGCCTCCACCCCCAGGAAGCAGCCCGTGACAGCTGACTAACACCCAGGTACCTATTTTACTGCTAGGTAACAGGGGCATAGGGGTGGAAGAAACTCTGCCCATTGTTTCTCGCCGGCGCCTGGGATCGAACCCGGGACCACAGGATCACAAGTCCAGCGTGCTGTCCGCTCGGCCGACCCGCTCCCAACGTTGATGACGAAATAGATTCATTTCTCATCAATAACAGACGACACAAAATTTATGATTAGCATCAGGAGCCCGACCTGCAGCCGGCTCCATGACGACCTGCAGCCGGCTCCATGACGACCTGCAGCCGGCTCCATGACGACCTGCAGCCGGCTCCAGGACGACCTGCAGCCGGCTCCATGACGACCTGCAGCCGGCTCCATGACGACCTGCAGCCGGCTCCATGACGACCTGCAGCCGGCTCCATGACGACCTGCTGCCGGCTCCAGGACGACCTGCAGCCGGCTCCATGACGACCTGCAGCCGGCTCCATGACGACCTGCAGCCGGCTCCATGACGACCTGCAGCCGGCTCCAGGACGACCTGCAGCCGGCTCCATGACGACCTGCAGCCGGCTCCATGACGACCTGCAGCCGGCTCCATGACGACCTGCAGCCGGCTCCAGGACGACCTGCAACCGGCACCAGGACGACCTGCAGCCGGCTCCATGACGACCTGCAGCCGGCTCCATGACGACCTGCAGCCGGCTCCAGGACGACCTGCAGCCGGCTCTAGGACG